GAGGGAGGACTTCGTGAAGTCTCCCCTGAGGATTTACAGCCAAGTAATGGCTGTTGGGGTGAGGACAGACATACTCTTCAATGTTGTAAACACTGGTGAGGTGCTCATGGTCCAGTATATTACATGTCCCTCAATCCTACCGCTGCAAGCAGTCCTAATGTCAATCATTGGGTCATTAAAATAGGCATTCATTCATTCATTCATTCATTCATTCGTTTGTTTATTGGCCTTAAGATAAGAAAGTACAGCATTTCACTCTGGTTTTGAGAAACCCACCAGAAAGGGATTTTTTTTTTTCTTTTTTGATTAGCACGCCCTGGTGCATTCTATGCAGGTGCCAGTAGGTGGCAGTGTAGCAGGAGGTCGCAAAGCAGCAGGTGAGAAGCCTTTCTAGACTCCCACAGCGGAAGAGGAAGTGGCATGTGCAGCGCTCTACAGTGGCCGAGGGACTGCTGCTGCTCTCTGAGCTCTAAATCCAGCAGTGCCCGGGAAGCTGCAGCGACAGTTGCTTCTGTAGTTGGAGCCTCGAGAAGGGCACCCGGCAGCTGGCACCATGGTGAAGGAGCAGTTCCGGGAGACTGATGTAGCTAACAAAATGTAAGATGCAGCTGGGGGGTGGACGCTGGGGTTGATGGAGAGACGGAGGCTCGAATAATGCTGCTGTTAGTTATTAGGGATGCCACCCTGGTCCCCAGCACTGCCAGGCTAGCTCCCAACAGCACTGATAAGGTAAGGGCTGTAACTGGCTCTCTCTTATAGTGGCCAAGATTGACAGGCTCAATCAAATTATGTATGATATAATTTGATATAATGTATGGACAGGGGCACAAGTCTGACTAATAACAAAACCCCCAGGTTTTATTGAGGACCGCAATATGTGCACATAGAGTCAGTCCGGAAGAACATGCCCACCAAGTATCCTCTAAGGGCAACAAGTAGCCAATCTTATTTCCAAGTGGCTGAGCATAATTGCAGTGAATTTGATATTCTAGTGTGATCCGTCCCACGCATAAACCCTGACCCTCTACCTGTTGGAGTGTTAGGGAGGCCTTTGTTTGCCCGCGGCACTGTTGGATCCCATGCCTCTCTTACCAGATCATAGAGGTCAACATACAAGTCCAGGAACCAGGTGTCCTTGGGTTCTCTGGCTGAGGAGCTGGAGTTGGCAATGACACCGGTTTCTGTGTTAACTACCAGCCAAGTCTGGTTCCACGGCATGTGAGGGTTGCTGGAGTGGCCCGCCCCCTGGAGGGCTCTCATGAGCAGGACCAGCAGGAGCAGGATGGGCTTCACTTTTGGTGGAGCTTCAGCTTCAGCAGGTTGGAGGGGTGTCTTGATGCCTCCCAGGTCTCATCCCGGTGTCCTGTTGAAGAGGCAAGCAAGCCTGATGGTCGAGCATGGGAGTGGTGGATCCAGACTGCAATGCTGTCCACCTTGAGAATGGTGGGGATGGTCAGGATGACAACGTGGGGCCCCTTCCATCTTGGTTCCAAGGTCCTGGACTGGTGTCTGCAGATCAGGACCCAGTCCCCGGGCTGGGTAGCTATGGGGCTTAGGAGAAGAGGAGGATGAATAGATGGCCCGCAATTGGGGCCATATGTCTGCTTGTTCTTGGGACAGAAATTCAGACTCTTAATGAGATCTGCATCCTCCATCTGCACCACCAGTTCTGTTTGTAGACTAGGTATAAGAGGGGGTGGCTGGCTGTACATGATCTCAAAAGTGGTTAATTCTAGCTGGTAAGTGGAATTCCTTACCCGGAACAAGGCACAGGGGAGGAGAGCCACCCAGTCACTGCCAGTCTCTAAGGCTAATTTAGAAAGGGTCTCTTTTAGGGTCTGGTTCATCCTCTCGACTTGTCCAGAACTTTGGGGCCAATATGCGCAGTAATTTCCACTCGGCCCCTAATGCGGTAGCTATCCCTGGCTTACTTGTGAGATGAAGGCCGGGCCATTGTCTGACCCAATCAGGTGGGGGAAACCAAACCTGGGTAGGATTTCTTTCAGTATCTTTTTGACCACCACGTGAGCCTTCTCGTGTCTGGTTGGGTATGCTTCAGTCCATCCCGCAAAGGTGTCTACAAAAACCAGCAGGTATCTATATCCATATTTACCTGGCTTAATTTCTGTGAAGTCCACCTCCCAGTATGTACCTGGGCGAGTCCCTCTCTTCCAAGCTCCTTTTTTTCCTTTTATCTTGTAGGAGTTTACCAATTGGCAAGCCTTACATTCTGTTATAATTTTGTCAATAAGTTGATTGGCTTGACGAATTTTTAAGGGGGACCCAGAGATCAATTCTCTCAGCTTCTGGGTCCCTAAGTGAGAAGTCTGATGGATACTCTGGAGCATACATTTTCTTGAGTAGGCTCGGGAGAAGCACTTTTCCTGTGAGTAGCAACCACCATCCATCGTTTTTATATACTCTCTCTACCTGAGAAGCCTAGGCTTCCTCCTCTGAATTATAGTGTGGTGTGGGGGGTAAGCCGTAGGGGCCTGGATCTGCCATAACAGGTAGAGCCACTGTGATCTCTAATAAGGCTGCTTTCTTTGCTGTCTGGTCTGCCAGGTTGTTCCCCTTTGACACGGCATTTATCCCCCTCTGGTGGCCTGGACAGTGTGTTACTGCAAGTTTCTTTGGGAGACATAGTGCTTTTAGCAAGTCCAATATCTCTTGTTTATTTTTAATAGCCTTTCCTTCGGCAGTGAGCAGCCCCCTCTCCATGTATATTGCCCCATGGATATGTAGCGTAGCAAATGCACACCTACTATCCATATAAATGTTAATCATTTTGTCTTTGCCCAGGCGTAGGGCTTTAAGTGAGTGCTCTCAGCTCAGCTTTCTGGGCTGAGGTGCCAGCTGGTAGAGCTTCTGCCCAAACATTCTTACAGGTGGTGGTCACTGCAGCCCCAGCTTACCTATGTCCATTTCGTTCAATGCTGCTCCCATCCGTAAACCAAGTCTCTTCTGCGTCTGTCAGCGGTGTGTCGTGGAGATCAGGTCGAATACAGTGTACCTGGGCTAGAATCTCAGCACAGTCATGGAGAGGGGTCTCTAGGTCTGGGTTTAGAGTGGTCGGTGGCTAGAATGTTATTCTGCTTGGATTTAAAAGCAGGGCTTGGTAATGAGTCACTCTGGCATTGCTCAGCCATCTATTGGGGGGTTGCTTTAGAACTAACTCTAAGGCATGGGGGGGTAACAACCACGAGATTCTGTCCCAGGGTTAGTTTATCAGCATCTTTGACCAGCAAAGCCACGGCTGTGATGATGCACAAGCATGGGGCCACCCCGCAGCTACAGAGTCCAGTTTCTTTGATAGATAGGTAACAGATCTCCTGCATGGCCTGACATTCTGAGTCAGCACCCACCCCTTTTTCCACCCCTTTCCTTTCATCTATAGAAAGGAGGAAGGGCTTGTTGATGTCTGGGAGGCCTACGGCTGGAGCTTCTACCAATTTTTGCTTGATGGTGTCAAAGACAGTTTGCCTCTCCTTATTCCAAGTTAGAATCTGTTCCTTTGTGGCCTCATAAAGGGGGCGAGCAATTTCAGTGTACCCCGGAATCCAGAACCCTGCAGAGCCCAGGAAATCTCTGACTTGTCTGAATGTTTTAGGTATGGGTATCTTTAACACCGTTTCTTTTCTGGCCTCTGACAGCCATCTTTTTCCTCGTTTTCGTACATACCCAAGGTAGGTTACCTGTTTCTTGCAAATCTGGGCCTTTTTCGTGGAGACTCGATAGCCTAGTGTCCCTTGTGTTCTTAGAAGGCCCTTTGTTCTCCTGAGGCATTCCTCTTCTGACTTAGTGGCTATTAGTATATCATCTACATATTGTAAGAGAGAGACATGGGGGTGCTGGGAGTGATACTCACTTAGGTCTTCATGGAGGGCTTCATCAAATATGGTGGGCGAGTTCTTGAATCCTTGTGGCAGCCTCGTCCATGTCAGTTGCCTGCTTATTCCAATATCTGGATCATGCCACTCGAAGGAAAAGTAGCCCAGGCTGCTCGGGGTGAGTGGAAGACCAAGGAAAGCATCCTTTAAATCCAGAACAGTATACCATTCCTTGTCTGGTAGGAGAATACTTAGCAGGGTATACGGGTTAGGTACTGTGGGGTGAATATCTATTACCCTTTTGTTGACTTCCCAGAGATCTTGGACTGGGTGGTTGTCATTTGTTTGTGGTTTCTTAACTTGTAGGAGGGGTATGTTCCATGCAGACTGGACAGGCTGTAAGACCCCCTCTTACGGAAGTCGCCTTATGTGGGGGGTATTCCCTTCTTGGCCTCTCAGGTCATGGGATACTGGCGGAATTTTACTGGGTCTGCATTAGGGTTCAGTTCCACGTATATTGGAGGCTGATGTTTGTTCAGCTCCATTCCCCGTGTCTCGGCCCAGACTGTTGGAAACTCTTGGAGCCAGATGTCCATATTGACCTGAGGGTGGACTTTCGCCTATGGAGGCAGTATTCCTCCTCCAAGGGCATTGTTAAAAACACTCCAATGTCTTTTCCATCTGGTTGTTCGATGTGGGTGCCTGCATCTGTGAAATGGATCTGTGCTCTCGTTTTGGTGAACAAATCACGCCCCAGCAAGGGGTATGGACATTCAGGAATAACCAGGAACAAGTGGGTTACCTGTCCCACTCCCAAGTCCACCATTCTTTGGGTAGTCCATTTATAAGGTTTGGTGCCCATTGCACCCTGCACCCAGGTCTTTTCCCTGACAGGGGGCCCTCAGGTGTCAGAAGTACTGAGCTTTCTGCCCCCGTATCCACTATGAATTGGATAGGTTTCCCCTCCACTCTCAGGGTTACCCTAGGCTTGGGGAAGGGAGCTGGGCCCCATCTCCCCTAGTCACTGTCTTCTTCCAGGGTGGCGAGGACAGGAGTATGCTTCCCTGGCCCCACTGACCTGCCTCTCTTATTCCTGTTCTTGGGGTACTTTTTAGCCCAATGTCCTTCCTTCCAATATGCATACTGGTTCCTCCGTAGTTTAGACTGAGGTTTCTTATCTTTTCCACAGTTTCCTACCTTGGTGGCTAGGAGCACTCTCTCCATCTGTGCCTGTTGCCTATCCAATATCTTGGTTAGGTTCCTCTCTTGCCTTCTGTCTCTCTTCTTTTTTCTTTCTCGATGTTCTCTTTCCCTTCTCTCTTCCTTTTGGTCCTCCATTTCTCTTTTATTATAAACTTTTTGCCACTGCCACTAGGTCCCTTAGGCTTCTTTCTCCTAGTCTTTCTAATGACTGTAGCTTTCTCTTAATATCTGGTGCTGCCTGATTAACATACACTAGGATAACTGCCTGTTGTGTTTCCTCAGATCCCGGCTTATAGGGGGAGTACTGTTTAAAAGCCCCCATCAACCTCTCTAAGTATGCGGCTGAACTTTCTTCATTTCACTGTCTTATGTCATCAATTTTTGCCGTATTAGTAGGTTTGCATGGAGGAGCCTTGAGACCCGCTAACAGAGCCTGGTGGTAGACACGGAGATTCTCCTTACCTTCTGCCATATTATAGTCCCAGTTGGGGTGGGTGGATGGAAAAGCACCACAGCTAAAGCAGGATCTGTTAGAGGGGACGCCCATGCGTCCTGGAACTAACTTCCAAGCATTCTCCAGGATCTGGTTCCTTTCCTCAGTGGTGAAGAGGCCTCCCAATAATTGATATACATCATCCCACGTGGGATGGTGAGTGAATAAAACTGTCTCTAATAGGTTAGTTAAGTCTTGGGGGTCCCTAGAAAACAGCATATTTTGGGCCTTCCAATTATACAGGTCACTAGTGGCGAACGGCCAATATTGGAAGGGTTGGTTCCCAAATCATCTGGAGGGCCAGCAGGCCTGAGGAGAAGAGCTGATGTGGAGTCTGGTTGAGGGGCTGACATGGAAGGGGCTCCTGCCCCCTCCTCCTGTGGTAGACAGAGCTGCCCCCCTCCCTCCACTCTTGACAGCTGCGGCTCTGGGGCCTGCTCCACAGGAGGCGCTGTGGGGTGTGTTTGGGGAAGTTGAGGAGATCAGGGGGGGCGGAAAAAGTTCTGCTTCAGGAGATCCTCCCTGGAGCACAGCAGCAGGCTTCTTCGTCCCTTCTTCCTGATTCACTGAGGAACTCCTGGGCTTGACTGCCAAGACCTGAGTGCCTTGAACGTGCTGTGGGGGCAGAAATAGCTTTACTCAGGGAAGGGGTCCACCTTCCCTATCTATCAGGCCCCTCCAAGTAACTGTATAGGAGACTTGGTCAGGGTGGCCAGGGTTAGGGCGAAAAACAATCTCTACTCAGTGGATGGTAGCAGCATCAAATGTTCCCCCTTCTGGCCACCCAATGTTGAAAGTTGGGTAAACAGAACACTCAGCTGAACAGAAAATGACCCATCTCTTCTTCTTAACAATCACGCTGTTGTTGCTTGCAGTCTCCTGGAAATCCTGCCAGTGAGCAAGGGTTAAGTCTAGGGGTAAAGTCGGGGTATTCCCCATAGAGGAAGAAGAAAGTCAAAGATAGTAGCTGAAAGAGAGAGAGAGAGAGAGTAAAGTAACAATGACCACAATAAAACACAAAATGACTCTAACAATTTCCCAGTTCCAAGTACAAGCTGGCACTTCCTCCTGTGGTAGGGGAAGATGCCCAAAACCACTCCTAATGGGTCATCTAATGAACAGGAGAGGCTCCTGGTCACTTTCCAGAGGAGGCTGCTAAAACCAAATGGTCACCTCTGAGGTGGCCCCAAATGGCTCGGGAACAGGGGGTCCCTTGTCCAAATTGGGGAACGAGACGTCTCTTTTTCACTCCATGTTCACTGTCTAGACACGTCTGCCCCAGTGAGAACCTGCAAAGTACAAATCGGTCGACCAGTACAAAACGAAAGTAACAAGACGGAGACACAGACAAGACAGAGAGTGCTCTTGTCATGTCAATGGACCTCTGGACCCTTGAGGGTCCCAGTGGGGTCTCTGGGTTTCCTGGTCACCCTGACCAAATGTTATGCTCTTGGTCCCCAAAGAGACCACTGAAGAATGTTGTGATCGTGTCCCCAAAGAGACCACTGAAGAATGAGGATGTCCAGAATGCAAAAGCAAAGGTTATTTCTGTTAAAGCAGCACAGCAGGGAACTCATCCCAAACACTCACTCCTAGCTGTGAAGCTGAGAGGTGCTCCCCTTTTTTTGTAAGGCTAGCTCTTAAAGGCAAAGACCACATAATTCATTCCCCCTCAACCCACCTACCTCCCCCCAGTTAGAATCAGTTCCTTTTTCCCCAGTCTTTGATCTCTCATCCTTTTAGCAACTATGTCAGGAGTTTTATGAGCTGTCTCTGGAATTGGGATATTTTATATCCAATTAGTCCAGGTGGCCGAACATCCTGACTTTGTAGTTGATACCACCATCTGGGAACCTGCAACTGGCCTGAGTTTTATCTACACTAAGATATCCTGGTTTAAGCTTCTCTTTGTCTATAGAGAAAAGAGTGGGGGTCTTACTGAGGTTTCACAAGCTAGAAAGTGGGTTCACAGCAGCTAGGTGGCAGGCTGAGATCCAAGCTCCTATTCTGGGCCCTCTGCTTCACAGATTAATTATTAAACCATAGACCTTCCTTATGAGTTTTCACTTTGTTTGTTTTTAAGGCAGATCCATTCATTTTTAAGGAGCACGAGAGAGTCCTGACACCCATGTGGAGCACTAAAGATTTCATAAGAATGCAGCATTTGCTGCTTGGTCTAGTGGAGAGCAGTCAAATCAGCCATGGTTGCAGCAAATGCAACGACACACAGAGGGGATAATGGCAGCACACGTAATGTGGTACTCAAACATACCTGCAGGAACAATACTCATATACATAAAAAATGAAATAAATATTAAGAAGGGGGAAAAACAAAAATTAAAATAAGACACAAATGCAAGTCAGGGGCTTGTGAACTGGCTCAGCAGGTAAAGAGTAGTAAAGCAGGAGCTCTTCCAAATTCTTTTTTAAGCCAGAGATACCCTGGTGTTGAGAGATGAAGACAGGTCGGTAAATAGATAGAAAGAAGGATGGATGGATGGATGGATGGATGGATGGATACATAGAGAATAGACAGATGAATAGATAGATAGAATTATAGGCCTATTATCCTGATGAACATATGAATACAAATTTTCAATAAAATATTTGCAAATCAAGTTCAGGATCACATCAAAAAAAATATCTACCGTGGTCAAGTTGTCTTCACCTCAAACATGTAAGGGTAATTCAACATACACAAATCAATGTATTTATTACACCACATAAAATGAATAAAGGAAAAAAACAATATGACCCTCTGAGTATATGAAAAAAGGCTTTGTAAAATCAAACTTTCGTCAATGATAAACGTCCTGGAGTATTTAGGGATATAGAGGATATGTTTCAACATAATAAAGTCATTGTATAACAAGCCCACAGCAACATCATGCTAAATACAGGAAAACTCAAAGCAATTCCAAAAAAAGAAGGAACAAAAAAAATATTCACTCCTTCCACTCCTATTCAATGCAGTACTTGAACTCTTAGCAAGAGCAATAAGACAACTGAAGGAGATAAAGGGGATAGAAATGGAAAAGTGAGAAGTCAAAATGTCCTTATTTGCATATGATATGATTCTAAACAATTAAAACTTAAAATTTATCAGAACTCCCTTAAACCTGACAAATAGATTCATAAAAGTAAAAGATTGTAAAATTAACACACACAAATCAGTGGCCTTCCTGTATACCAGTCACAAACATACTAACAAAGAAATCAGGGAAACAGTTCCACTCACAAAAGGCTTTAAAATGTATGACAAGACATTTTATATGATCACACTTTAAAAGCATGCTATTAAATACAATGTATCACCCCTTTCTATGGAACTTAATAATGTGTCCATAAATGTTCTATTATTGGGCAAAGGATAATTTTTAAAGTGGAACAGGCAGGAATATCCAGAGATAATTTTAGAAGGGTAAAGTAGGGAAGCATGATATATTGGAGAGGAGCATGACATATGAGATGGAAAAAAATACTTTAAGAGAGAAATGTGAGCAGTGGGTGTGATTGGTAGAGTTGATATTGCAATAGATTTCAGTGTCCAGAAACTTTGTGAATGGTGAAAAAAGAGGCTACAGGCTGGAAGAACAATGGGCTGTGAGAGCATGCCCTGAAAATATGGCAAGTGTTCTAGTTAACTTACTATTGTTGTGATAAAAGTCCAAAAAGCCAATCTGGGAAAGTGAAGGGTTTATTCATCTCACAGATTGCAGTCCATCATCAAGGGAAGCCAAGGCAAGATCCCAAAGCAGGTGCTTGAAACCACACAAAATGCTGTTTACTGCTCTGCTCGGCTAGCTTTCCTCTGAGGCCCAGGATCACCTGCCTAGGAATGGCACTGCCCACAGAGGGCTGAGCCATCCTTCATCAGTTAGCAACAAGAAAATTCCAAAGAAACATGCCTGCAAGCCAGTTTGATGGAGTCAAATCTTCAACTCTGTGTCAAGTAAACAGCCAAAATTAGCCATCACAGCAAGCCAGAAGGGGAAAACATAAACCTCAACTTACTGCAAAGAACATTGACACTCCATGAAGAGGATTCTATGTCCAAAGTGAAATTTCCATTGTAGGAAGAATGATTCAATATGGTTTATGTCAGAAGTGAAATAATCAGTAAAATGATGAGTGATTATAAGCCCAAGCCACAAAGGAAAAGTTGGTAAATTTGACTTCTTAAAGTCCCTTCTGGAGGCTGCAGGGTAACATGGGGAGGGGCTGTTGACTGATAGCACCTTTGAGCATCCTTCCAGTGTTTTGGTGGAGAGGTTCCTATCAGAAGTCCTACCCCTTACTACAGAGACCAGGTCCCAAATACAAGCCTGAATCACTAACTGCATGCCAGAGCTTATGTTCTAGAGAAATGGAGGAGTCCATTCTGCTTGAGACCAGAGTGAGGCAGAAGGAAGCTGGTTCTAGATCTCCCTGGAAAACATGGAGGAATAAGATGTCCTGAGGAAGACTCAGTGAGTTCTGGGAAGGGGCTGGGGAGTTTTCTGGATATTTTTGGGCTTGAGCCTTCCAGGGCTAAGACTCAGGAACTGGGAACTTCTGGGAGGCAATAGGCCTATCCTTCTCTGGGTTCCTAAAGAGCAGACCCAGATGAAGGATCCATGATGATTAGTTTGGCAGAGTCAGGAATTGACAAGGCTGAAGCTGCTTTGCTGGGTACCCTCAGGCTTTCACCCTGAGTGGGAAAGGAGGCACAGAAGAATTAATGAGATTTCTGTACCATAACTGTGATCACACTCACTGAAGTCCTTTCATTGTGTGCCAGTAATGATAGGAAAAGGGGAGTACCCTGGCAAAGCCATAGGTTCTGATACTTTACATTATAACCACTAGCAGGGCAGGATCCACCAAGTGCTACTGTCTTCCAGGGATCCCTAAAGTTTTGAGTTCCCTGTTGTGGGTGGCACATAGATCAGTTCAGCCTGAGAACTGTTAGATTCAGTGGACCTGGAATGAGCCTGTCCCCTTCCTGGTATTTCTGAATGTCCTGGAATGTCAGTGAGGATGGCTATGTGAATCTGGTGACTATGTTCTGCCCCTGCATGGCTTCTCCATTAACATGAGACTCTGAAGCATAGAGCAAGTGACTTGGGCATCCCTTTACTGCCTGAGTGCTTGGGGACAGTAGCAATTTTCTCCAGGCTCTGAAAGCAAATGGCTGAGGGCTTGGAGCCAATGTGCATCCTCTGAAACTGTGAGTAAGCCCTTAAGAGGCTGTCCACTGTGTCACATTGTTTAGGGAGACAGAGGAAACCAGCTGACTTCTGAGACATCCACCTACCTATAGAGAGATGGGAGAACTGACATCCACAGAGGGGAGACTCAAGTCTGGGCTTTCAGAACCTGCTTGGGCAAAGTCTCATCTGTCAGTCTCTTTCTGAGCATCCTTCAGTGTGTCAGGATTAACTGAGATGAAGCAGTGTGTAGGGCAGGCGCTGTGCTTTGACTTCTAGAATTGGGTATTACTGAGATAGCTCACCTTGTCTAGCATGACTTGTCAGTGTGATATAACATCTGAAAGGACACAGTTTTCTCACATCACTTATTTGTTCTGGGATCCACTAAGTACACGTCTGAAGCCACAGTCTAGGCTTTTGGTGAATTTTCAATCCAGACCAAACACGGTGCCGGTTCTTCATTTTAAGACTGGGGTAAATTCAAAAGTGTGAAGTGGGCCTCTGGGAAATTCTATAGTAAAGGACCCCTTTAATCTGTCCTCTTGTGCCCTTTACCTGCCTCTCTCATGCACCGATGGATGTTGTTATTTAAGCTGTCTGTGTCACCTTTCCTAAGGGCGTGTGCATTGTCACAGGTGTCTCCAGGCAAGGAATTTGGCTCTTGTGTAGCTCTAGGTGAAGCACCACCACAGTGACACACTACATACTATCCCCATGACTATGACACATTTGATTTTCTGTACATGCCTTTGCATGTCTGTGTGGAGCCTCTCACTAGCCATTTGTCTCTCTTCAAATTCCACAAGCACTCAGGCAGGAATGGAGCCTTACACTTGTGGGAATGTTTGCTCCTGTGTCTCAGGGCCCCAGTCCTTATCATCTCCAGCCTGACATGTCACTAGTTGATCACACATTTGCTAACATCATGAGGGCTGGAATGTATTCTGCTGATGATTTGGGGTAATTTTCCTCATTAACTAGGGGATTTACCTTTGTTCTGACAGGGCACCCAAAACCTCCAACACACCCACATATTATAACACTCTTGGGTATTCTCAACAATTTGCTTGTTCACATCAGGGGACCGATCTTTACTCCCCACTATCCTGACCTAATACCCTAGCAACCTTTATTTCTCATGTTATTCATTAGAGATCTGAAGAAGTGATAAACCGTTTCATCGGATGTGTTTGGAATAGAGACTTCAACTTCCCATACTTGAAGTAGTAAAAATATTCTAATGAAGCAGAGAGAGAGAGATCCCTGGCTTTGTAAAGAGGAGGTGTTGGAGGTCTTTCTTTCTGTTTCTGGAAAGACTCCTGAGAAGGGCAACATGGCTTTTTGTGCATTTCTGAAGAGCTAGTTAGTAGATAGGTGACGCCTCATGGAGATGACTCTAGTAGTCCCTTCTCTGGAAATTCTGTTGTATCCTGGAGAGCCCTTGGTATTCTCTGTGATGTTACCAGTGTTGTGGCAACACCAAATGCCTGTAGGGTATTTGTTCAGTGCCCTTAGACATGTTGGTAAGACTGAGCAGGCTGCTTGGGAGAGAGAATAGAGAACATGGAGTGACCAGAGAGAGGCAAAGGAAGCTGGCCTTTGGTCTTAGTCTCAAACCTGGAGAAATAAATGGTTTGGTGAAGAAAATGAATCCTGAGCAGGGGATAGCGAGCTTCCTGGAGGAGGTGAACTTGAGCTGGGGCTCAGCATCTGGGAGCTTCTGGGAAGCAATGGGCCTATCCTGTTTCTCTGGGCTTCTTAATAGCAGACCCAGAGTCAAGAGTCTCTGATGGTGAGTTTAGGAGAGCCATGAATTGTTCAGGCTGCAGCTGCTTTTCTGGGAACTCCTTCATTTCATTCAGACAGGCAAAGGGACAGGAGGAACTGATTGACAAATGAGCTGTTCCCTCTCTGGGTAGGGTGTTGCTGTACTTCATTCCAGTGGATTCCTACTGTTTCCATGGGAATCTGATGCTAATAAGAAGGGAGGGAAATTCCCTTGGCTCTCTACCAGGGCCTCAGACATTCAGATGCTTTGGTCCTGGACACGTGTGATCAGAACTTGGTGCTGATAAGCTTTAGGGACATCGAGACTTACCTACATCACATCAGATATGAGCTGACACTGTCCTCCAACTCTACATGGCTGGGATACATTATGTCTTCCAGGGCCAGGGGACTGTACTAGGGAGTGAGGCACAAGCCTAGCCTTGCTGGTTGAGGACAGAGACATAGATCATGGGCACCAGTTTGAGGATAGCTGCCCTGCTCTTTGGGAGTTTCACTGGGTCCCTAGCATTTCTTCTTCCTCGGGCTCTTTGGAACTCATCATGGACTCTATTAACCTTAAGCCATTCAAGTATACAAGTTCACTTTTCTTTATCTACCTGCAGGGACTACAGAGGAGGCACCATCCCAACTCTCCACCTTCACTGAGCAGGAGCACCAGATGAAAAAAATAGAGAAACTCACCGTCTGGCTAAATAATATGACCTGTGAAAGAAATGAGCTGTGTGAAATCCTCGCCAATTACACAAACAAGGATTTGAAAAACAGGTAGTCATTATGCCCAGTTCTCTGCTAATCATCTTAATACCACAGTATCAAGCCCAGGTTTCCTGAGGAACAGGAGACTGTACATCCAGGGTGTCCTGGTGCCTAAACTAAACTTCCTGAGTGCATTCAAGATGCAGAACTTGGACCCTGGGTAGGAGTGCGATGGGGACACAGGCTGTTCTGTTTCCTATAAATGAAAAGCAGAACCTGTGGCCTGAACCAGAGTCTGAGGACAGGGACAGTAGTGTGTGAGCTCTCAACATGCATTTCAAGATGCCTTGACAAGTGTTGGCTTGTGGGAGATGCTAGGTCCTGTTAGTTTGTTGTGAGTCTTTGTACTTGACCAGCGGATGATTGTGTCTGAAAGCTCAAAACCACTCCATAGGGAGTTTATCTTCTCGTTGGCAAAAAAAAAAAAAAAAAAAAAAGTCATTTGGGCAAGAAACTGTTCTTGTCTAGAATGCTTGATCAAGTGGACATGCAGGACCCATAGGAAGGTGGCCACTGAACTTTGCTTGGTGAAATGGTCCTTCAGGTTCCTGCTTACCAGAGGAAACTGCCAGACATTCTACAGGACACAGAGAGAAATGATTGGGAGACTCTAGGCGTGTGGGCTGAAGACAGATGCCTCAACTTTACAAAGGAACATTAGGTGACTGTCCATGCTTCCAGGTGTCTCTGTCTACCCTGCAAGACTCCCAAAGTTACTTGTGTCCTTCTTCTCTTTCTCAGATAATATTATATCCTTCTGGGCCCTTTGATGTAGTTGAAGCTAGATAGTTACAATTTTCCTTAGTTATGATAACAGATAAGGTAAATATAAAACCTTAGACTCACAAATATTAGATAGATATGTTCTTTAATATTGTAACTGTAATTCTTGCTTGATAATTGTTTTGTTATACGTAATTTTAGTATGTTAAAGTTAAAACCTTCCTTTTTGAAAAAAAAAGAAAAAGGGGAAGTGCTGTGGATGATTGATTGATAAATAAAACAGTGATTGGCCAGTAGCCAGACAGGAAGTATAGGCGGGACTAGCAGAGAGGAGAATTGAGAGAACAGGAAGGTGCAGAGGAGGAGCCACCAGCCTGCCATCCAGGTAGCAGCATGTAAAGGCAGCAAGTAAAGCCATTGAACACGTAGTGACATAGATTAACAGAAATGGGCTGCATATAAGAGTAAGAGCTAGACAATGGTAGACTTGAGCTAATGGCCAAGCAGTTTAAATAATATAAGCATCTGTATGTTTATTTTATAAGTGGGCTATGGGATTGCGGGGCTTGGTGGGACCAAGAGAGAAAAACTCTAGCTACAGGCTATTATGCAGGGAGCTACTTAGGGAACAGCACAAAGCTTTCATTGATGATGTCAGTGGCCTGTGGCTCATTTGCTTTGCAAGGGTCATATGAGATCACAGGGAGGAAGCAGCCTTCAAGGACTAGAGCCCAGTGCCAGTGCCAAGTGAGGGGTTCTCATTGTCAACGTTTTGGGTGGCATGTGGTCTTCTCTTTTCTTCCTTCATCCCAATGTGTTCTCTTCCTTTTGCCAAGCTCTTGGTCATAGTGACAGAAGCCTGAGTACCACCTTGTCAGTCCTTTTTCTGGGCATGGTTCTGGACAGTTCTGCGGGAGCATCCTGGAGCTTCCAGTCTGGAGCTGCCTGGATGACCATAGATGTGGGTGGACTTTGATAGGCTGAGGGTTGGTGTGACAGATTTGAAGCTTCAAGAGAACATGTTCTCCAATCTCATCAACATAGTCTGACTAACTTGTGTTTTCCCCTAGGAAGTTTTAGGCCCAAAGGGATGGATTGCCGTATTGTGGGTCTCAGTTGAAACACCTGATGTGCATAGTCTAAATTCAGCTGTTTATTCAGCATGACGTCCTCTTCACTTTTTTCTTCTCACTTCTGATTTCTGTGGTCTGTGTATGATCTATGCAGATGTGTGTAAATGTGTACATTGGTGGGTGTGTTCAGAGACTACATAATAAAATCCCGTGTTGTCATCTGTTGCTCACTCCCTTATTCCCTGGAGCTCAGGTCTTTCTCTGAACCTGATATTTTCTCTTTGGGCTAATCTGGCTGTCCAGCAATCTTGGGATCTCCTGTCCTCCAAGGTAGACCTTCTGTCTTGTTTATTCTCATCCAATTCCTACAAGTTTCAATTGCTCAGAAAAAGGAAGGATGTAGTAGCTTTCTTTTTCTTCATTTACTTTTATTGTTTTGATGTTAATGTGGTTTCTAATAAATAACAAAAATCAAACAATACAGATGTTTTAAAAATAAACAGTAGGCACAGAGCTAAAACCACAGGAAATGCCTGGTTTGTCTCATTGACTTCACAACACAGAATCCCACAGTGCATCTTCTTGTTGACATTGTGTTTTGACTACATCATGTGCATGGCTGTATCTTAGAACATTTCCCTCTCATAGCTGTGTAGAGTGCTGCATTCTTGAAAAGCTATGTAGGTCACTTCACTGGCCTCTTTCTGACTGACTTTGGGGCTATTTTCATATCACATGCACTGCAACCTGTTACAAACTTCCTGGGTTTTGACCATGGGTCACTTTCTTTCTCTTGAACTAGGCAGGGTCTTCTGTGGAGGAGCCAGGGGAGGTTTAGTGAAGAGACTGCGATGGATCAACTTGGAAGCCGTGTGATCAGTGAGTCTTGGGATAGATAAAGCTCATGAAAGTAAAAGTAAGTGCAGGCCAGGGTAGCAGAGCCTGGCTGAGTCTAAGAGCCTTGTAGACAGCAGAGTGGACCCACTTCCTCCCCCTGCAGAAGACTTTCTTAAAGGCAGCCTTTTCTACCTGGACATTCTGGGATCAGAAGTGTGTGTGTGTGTGTGTGTGTGTGTGTGTGTGTGTGTGTGTGTGTGTGTGTGTGTGTGCTGTGTGTGTGTGCTTGTGCTGTGTGTATGCTCTGTGATGCATTTCTGTACATCTCTGTTTGTGTGTGTGGACCTATATGTGTGTTTTTTGTGTCTCTGTGTGTATCTGCTGCCTCTGTGTATCATGCTGTATGCATGATAGTGTCACTTTGTGTGTGTGTGTGTGTATGTGTGCTCATGTGTGGTTGTCTGTGTCCATGGTTCCTGTATGTATAGCTTTAAGTGCTGATGTGTGTATGTTTGTGTGTATGGATGCTTATATGTGCAAGTATGTGTTTGGATGCATCAATATGTTCACTTTTTTGTGTATGAAGCATCTTTAATGATAATAGAGTCCAACTTTGTTGAAAAAGTACTGTGCACACTCACTTTTCATCCATCTAATATTGTATGCTGCTGCCCATCTTTCCACATGTCCACTTTGCTCTCTAGGACAAAAAGGACACAAAACTACTCTAAGTCAATGGTTTTCAGGTAATTGTAGAGGGAATAATTCCCTAGCCATGCTGTGGTGTGAGAATGGGGCTGTCTCTGTGCACACCCTAGGCTCGTGATGGTCTAAAGCACTCACCACATGCTGTAGCACTCAGTAACTGCTTTTCTTCAAAGTTCTTCATTTTGAGTTAAAATCAGCCTCATGGAGGGTTGGGAGCAATGAGGACTCTCAGACATTGCTGGTGGTATAACATAATATAGCACAGTGAGAAGCCACAGACTCTTCTTCAGAAAGTTAAACTGAAGTTCACAGGTGAACCAGTGATTCCAGAATACGAAGTAGGTGTCCAAGGAGAAGCTAGGGGACATTAGTGTTGTAGTAGCATTCCTCAGAGTAGCCTAAAAGTAGAAACTATCTAGATGTCCATCATTCGCTGAGTGAAAAAGTACAATGTGATTGAACCCTTCCATGAATTATTGTTCAGCACAAAATAATACATGCAATCATTTGGCCCTGATATAGTCAGCCTTTTGTTGCTCAAAGAAATCCTTGACACAATCGCCTTACCAGGAGGAATTGTTGATTTTGACTCCTTGTTGTGGCAATTTTCTAGGTTCCTGGGCTCTTGGGTTTTCTAGTTTCCTGAGCTCATTTGCTCTGACATGAGGCAGCCTGTGGTAGAGGGAGCTTCTTTTGGGGAAGTTGCTCACCTTGGGGCCAACTGGGAATTAGTGAATAAGACCAGTGAGCTGGTCCAGTTGTCCTCTGCTGGGGAACATTCCTATACTGCACAGCCTGGAGAACTTCCTAAGCAGGGTTGGCTAACCAACCAGTACCCCAGAGGTCCACATGTCTGTGCATTAGGATCACAGGATAGGCACTTCAATGATTGAGTTGCCTGTTTCTCATGGCCACTGTATTCTTCTCTCATCCTACAAAAGTAAATATTCTTCTCAATAGTATCCCTGGTGATTGTTCCTTATATTAACATTAGCTGGGAAATTAAACATGTTACTGCATTAAAGTGTGCTTGTATGTGTGCACACATGTACTTGTGTGTGTTCATGAGTTTGTTTGCATGTGAGTGAGAGACCCTCCACTGAGAACACAGTCTTCTAATAAACAGAGGCAAGAGAGCCTGGATGAAAGACTAAAGGACCTGTTGAAGCAGGAGGAGCTGGTAACCCAGCAAAAGGACATGGCAGAAAAGATGCAACATCACTTCAACGTCTCTGAGATAAGGTAGGAGCACAAGCCTGGTGGAGCAGTTAGAACCATGTAGGTCACCTGTACCTGGATTTCTGTCCTTTTGGGGGATTATTCCAATCTGGATGGCTCTCAGCCAGAGCCAGGGAAAGAACACCTAAGGGTATTGTGCTGGCTCAGTCAATGAGAACTTCTCCAGAAAACACTATGTTTGATTGATCCTTTGTGTTTCTGGGGAGTGTGTATCCCTTATTCCTTTCTGAGCTCTCTGGTATCTTCTCAGTACCTTGTCCCCTGTGTCTCCCCACAAATCTCCTTATGGCAGTCCTCAACCTAACAGGAGGAGGGTTAGTTGTGGAGGACAGTGTGTGCTCCTGCCACTTTATTTTCCTTCCAGAACATCACCTTTAAAGAGAAGTTCCTACCTTTGGACAGATCTGCATGCAGCACACTCCTGCAGATTACAGGTTCTCTGCAGTGTGCATCTGTTTCCTGTGAAAAGATTTTTCTGTTAAAAGAAGATTTAGGGGTTGAGGAGTTGAACCTAGGCAGGTTTGTATACTGAAGGAATAATCAGATCCTTCACTGCTTTTACTTTGTAGGATCTCCTAGATGGTCTACATTCAATTTCCCAGGCTGCTCACATTCACCTGGTATCTAATCAAGGCCATGCATTTTCTGACAGTTTAATGTCGATGGCTTTGGTAAGCTGACTGAGCACTCAGCCCTCTCTAGGTGGAGGGAAATCTGTCATGGAAGACTGTTGATGTCAAGCTGTTCCTGACAGACTACACCAAAAACCATAATTTTCATTCTCCAGGCCAGTGTTGAAGCTGACTCCATGTCCTGCACAAGTGTTCCTGAAGACAATGCACCACAGAGATCTTCACTGTCCCTCATTCCCCGGGTTAGTCACTTTTTCCTGCATATTTAAAATCAGTGGGTATGTCTCCATTTCTCAGCCTCAACTGAATTGCCTGGTCCTGAAAAAGGATTTATAGAAGACATCTGAGTCATCTTTGATGTTTTTTGGTATGCAGATGCTGCCCACATATTTGTGGAGTCTCTAATAAGTGCACAAGTGTCTGTATGCTGAAAGAATCAAATAGTGACCAAGACATTACAGGATCAGCAGTGGGTGATAATTTATCAAAAGCTTCCCAGAGGGACACAAAGAATGCTCTAGAAAATCTCTCATTCTTAGTCTGAGTAAGGGCTTGGCCTACAAAGCCTGCAGGAGGCATGGCTACAGTAGCTTTGAAAAAGGCTTTCACATTCGCTGACTGCCTTCCTACCATGTTTCCAAGGCCAGTCACAGGCTGTAGGTCTGTGCTGCTAAAAGTGCAGCAAGAGAATGCTGCTGGCCTTAATTGTTTTTGTTTTTGGTTTTTGGTTGGGTTTTGTTTGCTTTGGGATTTCTTGTTATAGATTGAGATTTTGATATTTATTTTTTCTTTCTTTTGATCTTGTAGTTTTTTGGGTATTTTGATAAGGCTGTTCACTGTTTATATTGACTTTTCCCTTTAAGCCCCTATTGAGTAATATTACTGTGTTTTTATTAATAATAAAGTGATTTTGAACTTTTGTGTCTTAGAACCTATTTCTTTGGTCAGGTGTGTTGTCTCACTCCAGTACCCCAGAACCTCCTGTAACACCAGAACTCTTGTGTGCCCAGCTTGGGCTACAGAGTAGGTTCCCAGGCAGCCAGGGCTACACAGAGCTTTGGATGTGGATGGTGTTGTCAACTCCGTGGATTCCCATTGCATGATGGAAAAAGTATCCATACTTCATCCTTGTGGACATATATTTAGCTATCTCTAACTATAGCATTCTGTATATCCACTGCACGATGTGATCATGTGCACCACATTCATGAGAAATACAACAGTATTGCTGTAAAGCCTCTCAGGAAATGAGAACATTTACTAAAGGAGTATGAAAGAAATCCATGGCCTGCTTGCCACCTGGAGCCATGATGATGTCCCTGCCTGGTCTGCTGCTAAGGGTCATGTCCTGTCCATGGCCCTGACACAGCTGTGGGAGTCTGCGTTGATACCCATGCATCATCCTCTACCACTGAGGGCCTGGCAGCCACCTGCAGTCTTGGACACCACCTGTGACCATGTTAGTGTCAAAGGGATATGCCCCAAAGGGGACATATGTGTCTTAGAAGCCTGTGCTGCCCCCTAGGACCATAATGACATCAGGGCTGGAGCTATCACTGAGGGTCATGTCTGGGTTTATGGCCCTGATGCAGCCAGGGTCTGTGTTGATATCTCAGGCATCTGTTGTCTTCAAAGATTCTTGGAATTTGGGCTACCACCATGGGTCATGGTGTTAGTGGGTCCCTGCCAATTTGTGTGACCTTCATTGCCAACCAGAGCCATGGTGATATCCAGTTCCTGGGCTACAAATTTGGAACATGTCTGGGTCCATGCTTCAAACACAGCCAGGATCATTGTTCATATCCACAGCCTGTATGACCACCAAGGGTCACACAGAGGTAGGTAGGGGTCTGGGCTGTCACCTAGGACCATGATAGTGTCTAAGTTGTGTGTTCCTGCAGGAGCCATACAGATCTGACTGGCCTGTGCTGCCACCAGGGACCCTGGTGTCCTCCAGGCCTAGGCTGCTGTCAAAGGCCATGTCTGGTCCATTGCCCTGCCACAGACTTTGTCTATGTTGATGTCAGTGGCTCCTTTTACTACTGAAGACAGGATAGAAACTCAAAGAGTTAACCCCATACTTCGCTGGCCTTAGTACTAGTGACATCTGAACTTGCCCCTCATTCACTGCAGGACTGGAGAGAGTAGGTTCTGCACTTGGACTGAGCAGCACAGTAGAGCTGACCCTGTTGGTTGTGGTGTCAGTGAGCTGGCCCTGAGACTGTGAGAGCAGAAGAACTGAGTCTACCCACTTCTGCCTTGTGTTGGCCAGGGTAAGGGAAAGATCCCTGCCTCACCTGATCAAATGCCACCTGCAACTGGTGGGAGAGTGGGACTTTGGGCATGAGAACAGAAGAGCTGGGTCAGCCTCTCACCAACTGTAGGAACTGGGTTTGTGGGCCTGGTACATCACCTCAGCAAAGCACTAGAGCTGTCCCTTTACTCTGAGTGTGGGAAAGTCAGATTTGAGTGCATGAGAACAGGACAAAGGGCCTCTCTCCATTCTGCCCATTGCATGAGGTGACCTCGGTGGGGCAGTGCTGGAGAGCTTGCCTGGGTGGAGAAGATGAAGGAAAGCTGGCAGCCTGACCATCCCAGGAACCCCCAGCCAGAACCATGGCTATGAATTATCCAACCCTAACGTCATCTTTATCCCTGGACTGCTGGAGCAGGTAAAGGGCCCAGTTCTGAAGATCTAAAGCTGCAGGATCTTTATGACACAAGGCATCAATAGGATATCCAAGAAGAGTACAAGTGAAGGTCCATCATCTATAGTGTAGAGAAGCCAGAGAGGCCAGGAACACTTACAAGAAAAGATGTATGGACTAAAGAGTATACTGTGTGACTCACTGGGCCACACTAAACTTCCTTGCCAAGACTTTTGTTTGTTTGTTTGTAAATTTGGGTTTTCAGTTTTCCTTTAAATTTTATTTTGCTTAGGACAGAGCTCAGATGTGATGGAAAGGATAAGGGGAAAAGTTGGATTGGGATGCATCATGTGAAACCAACAAAGAATAATAAAACATTTAAAATAAAAAAATAGAAAAACCAGAGCTATCTGCCCCTGGTTTCCTTAAAATATAGCATCCGTGGAAAACCAGACTGTAGACAGAATGAATTCCAAGATATGTTAGGACTTTTTTGGCCTCAACTACGAATAGGTTCAATTTCTTAAAGATTTATTTCTTTTATTTATATGTATGGACATTTTGCCTGCAGCAGGGCTGCACACCACATGCATGCAATTCCACCAGAGGCCAGAAGAAGGCATCAGATTCCACCTGAACCTGGCGTTAAAGTGGCTTTTTAGCTGCTCTGTTGGTCCTTTGGGAGAGAAACTACTCAAAATGCAGCAGCCATCTCTCCAGACCCTGCACTTGACTTTTGTCCTTCTAGCCATGTGTGTTATATTAGTTTGACTGAATCACTCACAAGCAAAGAGAAATTTCAGGAGACCAGAAGGGACAAACACCTGATGTAGGGATGCTAATTGTCTTAGGATACCAGGTATCCATGCAAGGCGTTGGTGGGTTCAGGATCCTGCTCCAGCATCACTTATTGTCAGGGTTGGAGCAGATCTCTCACATCTCATCCTGGATGACAATGAAGATTAGGGCCATCTGATGAAATGCAGAATTGAGAAAACACTCCTGGTGCTGGAGGTGTGGATAGGACTCCCTCTTGATGGTCCAGCTAAGCAGTGTTGGGAGGAAGCTTCACACCAGCCAGAGTGGATGGAGCCTGCAGCAAAACAGATATGCCAGTCATGAGGAGCATTTCTGTACAAGGCTAGGAAAGGAGAGGGATGGTGGATGGTGCTCTTTAACCACAGCTGATCTCATTGTGTCCTGAGGAAGGGTTTCTTCCAGATGAGTGCTTTATTTTCATGAAGTTCCCCTGGACCAGATCTGCCTTCTGAGACTGACAGTGAATCAGAGAGTTAATGTGTGGAGGAAGTAATCCTGTGGGACAACAAACTGGTGGTGTCAAACAAGGGTCGAAAGAATCTACTCTTTATGAATAAAGACCATAAACACACAGAGCATCAATACAAATACAAAGCTTATGAATTCCATGGATGACATGATCAGCTGGAGAGACGGCTCAGTGGGCAAAGGTAACTTCTGCTAGGCCTACAGACCTGAGTTACTTCTCTAGGACTCACATGATTGAAGGAGAGAACAAACTTCTGAGAAATTGTCCTCTGATCTTAATACGAGTGTAGGTACATGGTCATGGTCCACAAAAACTAATACTTTCTATTCCTAAGGCTTTCTATTTCTCATTTACCCTAGAATCTTTCCATCTGAGGCCCTCTTTTAATTATATTACTCTGCATTCCATTTGAGAGATTTGGGACATTTGCTATTTTATTCTTGTTGCTGAGATGTTACAAGATCTAAGAAGGCCAACAAAGCATCACCTGAAGAATGGTTAAGGGAAGGTGGCCACTGGGAATTTATGACATAGCTGAGACACAAAACTACTCTAGAATGTCTTCTCTACATGCTTGGTGTATTTGTCAGGGCTCTCTAGAGTAACAGAAGTTATAAAATGATCCTCTCTATGGAAAGAATATTTGTTAGAATGGCTTACAGGCTGTGCTCTAGCTAATCCAACAATATTTGGCTATGAATGGAAAGTCCAGGAATCCAGAGTCTGCCAGCACCCGGCTGGACTAAGAGGTGAGTCTTTATCTTCATACCCGAACACCCCAGCCCCTAGGCTTTGGGCCCAAGGGCAGAACCCTGCACCTCTACACTACCACCCATTGTAGTTCTGGTTTCAGTCCAGTTGGCAGACAGACCTCCTGCACACAGGTCAGTCTACCACCATCCCCCATCTGACCCTGTAACCCAAGCCCCACCTCCCCCAAATCCCACCCACCCTCGGAGACTGCACCTGTTCCCTGAGACAGAGCCTGCCAGCAACTGACTGGACTAAGAGGTGAGTCTTTATCCTCATACCCAAACACTTCAGCCCCTAGGCTGCACCTTTTCCCTGAGACAGAGCCTTCCAGCACCCGACTGGACTAAGAGGCCAGTTGGCAGGCAGAACTCCTGCAGACAGGTCAGAATGCCACCATCTACCACATGCTAAGACTGCAGTTATTCCCTGAGACAGAGCCCACTAGCCCCAGTTGGACTAAGAGCTGCTCCTTGAGACAAAAATTCCATCAGCATCGATCAGACCAAGAGCCCCCACTAGATCAAGAGTATCAATCAGACCAAGAGAGGCTCCCTCAGACACAGACACCACTTGCACCAAGTGGAGAAAGAAATGGGTAGACGCCAGTGCAAAAATACAGTCAACAACATAAAAACCAATATGGCTCCATATCCAGAACCTACATCAGCAAGACCTGAACATCCCAACACAGAAGAAACAGAAGATATCTACCATAAAAATGACTTTAGGAATATGTTAGAGATCTTAAAAGAGGAAATGAAAAATTTCCTTAAAGAAATCAAGGAAAAGTCAAACCAATAGTGGGAAGAAATCAGTAAGTCCCTTGAAAGCCAAGAGAAAGCAATTAAACAAGTGGGGGAAACAGTTAAAGATTTCAAAAATGGAGACATTAAAGAAGACACAAACTGAGGTAATGCTGGAAGTGGAAAATCTGAGTAAAGGAACAAGAACTACAGATGCAAGTATAACCAACAGAACGCAAGAGATGGAAGAGCCGATCTCTGGCATTGAAGATAAGGTAGAGGAAATAGATTCATCAGTCAAAGAAAACACTAAAGCCAACAAAGTCATGACCCCAAAATGTCCAGGAAATTTAGGACACCATGAAAAGACCAAACAATAAAAGGAATAGAAGAAGGAGAAGAATACCAATTCAAAGGCACAGAAAATATATTCAACAAAACCATAGAAGAAATTTTTCCCAACCTAAAGAAGGAAATGCCCATAAAAATACATGGGGTCTGCA